GGACATGGTTCATGGTCCACATGACTGGCTCGGCCCGTGAAGCTGCTCACGTCATCCCAAAAACATGATGAAAACCTTGTGTAGGTGTGTCCTCATTTGCCCTTGAAGTTTGAACTCTTCATTGGATTTATCTATCTTGCAAGTATATAGGTAATCCATTATTTTTTGTGGGCATAAATCGATCATTAAAAGATTATTGTGGTGCAAATTCCACAAAAACTAATACTTAGAGTTTTGTGGTTTTTACCAGATCATTAGGGATTTTTTGATACTGGTTAGTTCCTATATAAAATACAACGAATCATCTTTTGGTTCGATCCTACGAGATATAGATGTTTAATACCGTACCTTAATCAAAATATACTTATTTTTTATAGTTTTTGTCGATGAGTCACTGCAGAGTGCCACCTGAAAATCAGCGTATATGATCATATTATATATATATATATATATTCGCTCAACTTATTATTTAACGTTTTATTTTATTTTCTTTTCTTTTTTGATACTTTATACCCGTTTTTGTTGTATTATTCTTGTTTTGTTTATTATATTATTATTGTATTTATAAATATTTGTGTCTTTATTGTGTATTAAACTTGTACTTATTTGTGTGCCTATTTGTCGAATAAATGTGTTTTATTTCATCTTTCTTTCTTTTTTGTTTGCAATTATACTTAATTTTACCTAACCCTAACCCTAACCTAATATTATCTACTATTTTTGTAATTCAGAAGAAAATTACAGAGCAGAAGGCGATCTTACGTATGATCAAAGTTAAATAGTGCATCGGAGTAAGCGTGAAATGTATTCTGAAAAACAAAAGGAAAATATCAGAAGCATATTTTTAATTACCCATTAGCCATTATTATAAGTTAAGGTCGTATCTATTCACGGTAAGTTAATAAGCTAGAGTTATGCAGTACGATTGGAAACCGCAGAATTCTATTTCCTGCGACATGCGTAAATGGATTCAAGGAAATATATATCTAAACAATACACATATGGGTAAATATAATATTACATCTTCTATTCTCTAAACGATAGCCAAAAATATCATCGTTAGGTTATTATCAAATAAATTCGTTATGTATTTATCAAGTGAATACGATTTATTGCCTATTAATGTCATAATATAAATAATTCACTAACTGCAATAACTTATAGGCAATATGAAATGTAAAGGAATGTTACGTACGACAAAGGTAATAAATTGTTTGTCTTTTTTCCCAATTAAGAACACTAGCAAAAAGGTAACTAATGCCGAAGAATGTTTGCTAAAAGATTCGCCTTGGAAACGTGAATTTTGGCCATAGGTACAGCAGTCTACGTGAGTACAGTATTAGCTGCATCATCTCAAATATTACTCATTCTGCTAATATTTGCTTGTCCTCCATGTTTGAGATAACTATCTAACTGCGGATTTCCATACTCCACTAAGTAGTTTACTGGTCGACCATTTCCATGAATTTTAAAGGAATGTTTTAAAAGTAGTACCGAAGGAACAAAGAACAAAAAAATATTTTGTCTGCTATCACGCCTGGCGGTAATGGAGGATGCGACCTGTGATGGGGTAGATACTTATTGAACGTAGTAAACAAAATAAAAAGTAGGACACTGATGGACAAGACGAGCTGCCACTCCTCTGCTATAATTACCGATTCTAAATAAGCCAATATATACCTTATTGCAAAAAGGTTTAGCAGTATACCTACTCGTGAAAAACCTTTTTAGTGCTCCTTTATTCATCTCAAATCAAATCTCTTCATCATTCAAATAAGCTACAAATTAGGTACACTGATAGTTACGCCGATAACATAAAAACATTTTGATTCTGCGTGAAATCGTCAATAAATTAATATGTATGACAGATATGACGAGTGTGACGACGCTCACGCACAACCACTGGACAGTGGAACGAGGGTCAATTGGATGGAGAGGTTCACGAAAACTTAATAGACAATAACGAAGATATATTGAACAACGTTGGACGATCTGCGTCAACTTTGTTGATGGTTGACGTCACCAATTGTTCCAAAGCCTTGCACTGGGGGCAACGAAGGTTAAAAAAACAAACTGAAATGTCAGTCACGCTGAGGATTTCTAGGTACTCAGTTTACGATCAAAATTACAAAGTACGAGGTCGACATACAAATAATATTTCATTTTTAATAGATAGATTAAGTTGCGAGTGCGTGTATGGCTGTAAACATTTACCTAAATGATTTTTTAAACCTCTAGGTGCTCCTTGGAAAATTTTAAAACTACCAGTTGTGCCTACAAAGTGAGTTCACCAACAAAAATAAAATGTGACAATAATTAGTACAATCAGTCAAAACAATGCTAATAAGTATATGTTTCGTTTGATGGTTGATAAGTTTTTTACTTCGAGTGGCCAATCACTTCATGACCTCGAAACTGAACACAGACAAGCCTTCAGGTACCCACACATCGGCAAATGAAGGCGTGTTCATGTACATGCACGTAACTCGAAATACTTATGCGGGAAGCACACAAGGATATGCGCTGGTAGTGGTGAGATAGGGTTATCACATTTTTTACATTTTAATAATATGCCTAAAATAGTCCTTATCTGCCTCTATCCTTTACGTAATACCGGAAAACTCATAATTTACGCTAAAAATACCGTCTGTTTCGACATTTTAGGTACTTCCTTAGAATATATTTATTGTGATAGATTTTATTGATGACTATTAACATAACTAAGTTAATTAAGTCCTAAGTAAATAAAATTTGGCATATGCATATGTGTCAGGGTAAAAACCATTCAGAAATGCGATCTAGCAACCCTAGTGCTGAACAAGAATGCGATTCATTTGAAAAGGCGCCAACCGACACGTAAACCAGTCACCTGACCGTCTCGACTAGCAACCTCTAAGTACGAAATGTAGGTAACAACTAAACATTAAAACGTTAAAATAAGGCTTTTATTACTTGCGAACGAAGGCTCAAAATTGAATGTATTGGCAAAAAGCGACTGTAAGACACAGAAAATGACTAGGAATCATGATTTTCCAGTAGGTCCGGTCAAAATAAGTTAATGAGGAAGAATGGACTCTAGGATATTGAATGTTAGCATGAATTTGGCTTCGTAGAATAATAGAATATTCAATTAGTTTTTTTCAGTGTTGAACCTTGAGTTCGGTGAAAACCGGTATAGTCTGTGACCAAAGAGTATAATAATATATAGTCTGTGACGTAGGAGCCACTCCCGCTTTTGAATGTGACTGACAAAACTAGGGGACATTGCATTTTGATAAGATAGCAGTAGGTAACTAAACTTACAAGTCAGGTTTGTTTTGTTTATTTTAAGACAAACTTTAAAAATGTTGTTCATTATACATGTAGATGTAGCACGTAGGTATGTTTATTTGTCCGCTTTTTTCTTGCGTTTTTCTGAACCGATTTTGATGCGGTTTTTCAATAATTGTTTAACATTTAGTTGGGTTTTATCGTAGTTATTTAACATCATTTTGACACGTTGCTGGGTTCAACGTCCTTTTAAGTACTTCGGTAGTAAATAAGCGTAATTAAATTAATCATAATTTACCTAAGGGAGCTTTACTTGCGTATGTACAAGGCATGGGTACTTATGCACCTAACTAATGATGTACCTACTTAAGATACCAAATACTCCTCAGCAACTAATTTTGAGAAAGATAAAAACGCTATTTGTAGCGTAGGTATGTATAAAACGTTCCTTTTTTATTTTCCATATCAAACCAATAAATTGGGTTCATAGATAGAAAAGTACCAAATGGATTTCGCAAGTAGGTACCTAATATTGGAAACGTGTCGGTGTAAATATGTAAAATTTTTGCCATACCTATGCTAATAGATACAATACACCCATCCAGCATGATCCATAGACCAAAAAACCTGACTTGAAGCAGATGAAAGCGCCTAAAAGTGGATTTTGAAGATTAAATGGCTTCCTTAGCTATAATGAAATATACAAGTAAATAATGGCACAAATTAGTATTTACAATGCGCTTTAAAAATTAAATAATAAAAAATTCAATTTGGAGGAAAAAGTATGTAAAAGTTTGACCCCGACGTGATTTGAACACGCAACCTTCTGATCTGGAGTCAGACGCGCTACCGTTGCGCCACGGAGTCGATACATGGTATCATGAAATAAACGATAGCTATTGGAATAGTATAGTAATTATTTGAAATGACTATATTATTATTAAATGGAACAGTTTTCTAATTACACTCAAATATTTTTGTAATTACCTCAAAATTTGGTCATTGATATGTAACGTTCAATACGTCTACAGTAATTATTCTATTTTCACACAAGTTCCGTGAATTTGTTAATTTCAAGAATTTTATACTCAAACAATGAAAAAGTATTTGTTAAATATTATTTCATTTCATAAATATTAAAGTTTTAATTATGATTAAACACACAGAACAGTATTTTCTATTCCGTGAATAAACATCATCGTCATAGGATCACGCGTAGATGGACCATAAGCGCCATCTCTGATACTTAAAATACACTACTAACAACTTTAGCATGTCTAAATAGATGGCGCTGTTACACATAGAGAATATGCTAAAAACGTGTGTGTTTACTTACATTTCTCCAAGATATCTAATTATTATCAAGGGAATTATTAGTTAAAGCCTAAATAGCATACTGAATTTATTTCTTTTGTTCCAATACAAGGTTAAACATATAAGTACTATACAAAAACAAGAAGTGTGAGCAAGATATGAAAATTTGTCCTAAAATACTAATAGTTTACAAAAATGGCGTGAAAGTATATTCTGTTTGGTTTTGTAATTAGTTCGGGAACTATAAAATTGATACATAAGTAATGATTACAAAATTCGAATGAAGTAGTCAAGCCCCTGTGGCCTAATGGATAAGGCATCGGCCTCCTAAGCCGGGGATTGTGGGTTCGAGTCCCACCAGGGGTACACTGTGGAAACTCTTTTTTGACCTTATTCCTATCTAAAATGAAACAAAATTTATTTTATAGTCACATTTATTTTAAATATTAAAACTAACAAGCTAGTAATTATTAATTTATAAAAAGGTTCAGAAATGTTCGCGTCGCCCCGCAGTGCTAAGCACCTAAGACCGCCGTGGCTAATATAATATCCTACTTGATGCGGAAGACGGCAGTCATTATCTGAAAAATCGTAAACCAATCAATAAAAAGTTTATGATAAAAAAAATATTATACAATATCAATTGATATGTTTTTAATCAATGCAAATTAGTGTGTATTTTAATATGTATTGTATTCAATGTTTTCTGAACGTACATAAAACAATCGTCACATTTTTTTTCAAAAGATTATTATTATACTTTTAACCATATCGCTTACAAACGTGTCTATTTACTCCCACACGAACATCATAGCCATTATTAATGTATATCTACTGTTTTTAGCTCTTTTTATCAACATCCAGGCATCAACTATGTAACTGCTGTACCTACATACAATAATGACTCAACGATATTGTACTTATATATTTGTTTGAGATAACTAGTGGGTAATTTTGCCAACACTCTCAGAGGCGCCGTGGCTTAGTTGGTTAAAGCGCCTGTCTAGTAAACAGGAGATCGGGGGTTCGAATCCCCCCGGGGCCTTAGAGATGGTTAATTCTTTTTGGTAATATATTCTTAAAAAATATTTTTTTGAAGATTAATATATTTTTTAAAGACAGTTTATATACTTCTTAATGTAACTAGCACTAATAATTCTGAGGCAATAATAAAATTACTTATTTTTACGGAATATTCCTACTATATGATTGAAACAACATGATGTCGTAATCACTTTTTACCCGACTGCCAAAGAAGGAGGGTAATGTTTTTCGAGTGTATGTAAGTATGTATGTATGTCTTTTCCTTTGTGACCTCCTGTAGCCTAAACGGCTTGATGGATTTTGATGTATGAGGTATCGTTAGATTTGTCTTGATTACGGGAGTGTCATAGGATACATTTTATCCTAAAAGTCCCACGGGATAAAGACATAATAATATTTTTTCTAAATTTCCCTTTAAAAAAATATGTATGCGGTATCATTAGATTCATTTCAATCACGGGAGTAATTAATATAGGATACGTTTTTTCTCAAAATTCCCACGGGAACATGTTAATTCTGCGTCAACGCAAAGCAACTCATGCGTTAGCAAGCAAAAAGATAGGGCGTGGCCTGGCATGCGGCGCGCGGCGCGGTGCGGAGGGGGATATGCTCGAGTATACAGCCCGAATGCGTACAACATTTTCGTTAAATAAAAACAGCTAAAAAGTTATAAATAAAAAAATTATTATTAAAAAAACAAAATACCCGACTGCACACTAAAAAAAGAGTAAAACAAGCCCCACAATACAAATTTACTGAATATAATTTATAAATGTTGATGGAAAGCATCGCAGGCGGGGACCACCTTGACCGCCACCAACGAAAATTCTGCTAAATGGTGCACAACAGAAATGACTATAAATAAGCCTCTGTTGGTCCCCGCCTGCGATGCTTTCCATCAACATTTATAAATTATATTCAGTAAATTTGTATTGTGGGGCTTGTTTTACTCTTTTTTTAGTGTGCAGTCGGGTATTTTGTTTTTTTAATAATAATTTTTTTATTGTTAGTGAATGCTACTTATGCTCAAGGCTTCAACAGTATTTTCCGTTTTTAAACGGTTTTTTTAGTATTTACATTGTATTTTATTTGGTGACAATGACTATGAATATCGTGTTAGAATAATATACTAAGCATGGCGACTTTTATTCTTTGAAATAACAGGCGACTACACAATAAATGTGACTACCAATTTTCGCTTTTCGCCTGTTGAAGTGAGGATTCACGACATAGTCAAATGGCGAATTTTATCTTATTCCTATTGTTGCTAAAAAATGATTTTATATGATTATGCTCCATAACAATCTGAAATTATCTTACTTGCACACAAATTGTCGGTGGATGTGGCGGTGACAGTAAAGTACGCGGGCAGACAGAAGTCGGGCGAAGGGCAGGGCTGTGTCAGGTTGAACATGTGTATCCCTCGCTGTTCTATGGTCTGACAATTGTGGGAAGCTTCAGCCCCACGCCACATACAGACTAACAGCTGACCTTGGCCATCGTTTCGGAACTGGGGACATAGGTGTACATTTGTAAATCTAATTAGAATTAAAGTCTACTAAAATGACAAAAAAATATGTAGAAACCTGAACAATTTTAGTAGAATGAAGAAAAAATCTTTTATGGAAGTACGAATACAAAATCGTTAAATATTTACACTGAAACATAACATGTAACATACCAAACAGCTTCATTTAAAAATCAAGTGATACTTAGTCTCAACATCAACAAAGACAGCTACCTATACAGCTAACTCCGCTCACAAAGGAATGCAAAAAATGCACCCTTGTAACCAGTTTTTCAAACAGGATAGATAAAAATACTACCTATTGCACGCAGACCAAAATAGATCGCAGGCCGACAGGCGGCCGCCGACTTTTTTGTCGCACGTGTATATCCATAACACGATTAGCAAGAACTTGCGCTAAGGTTTTATCATTATTGGATAGTAATCTTCCTAATAAAGCAGTGCTTTGGACCTTGTCAATTAAGTATGTAAAACAGTGAAGAGCTCGCCAAAAAAAATAATAGACACGTAGATACGAAAATACTTCGTTATGGCTGCTTTTAGTTATAAAGGGTCAGATGTTTTATATTTGAGGGAGCTTTTCCTATTGCCTATGATCCCTTAGTATATATTATTAGGGGTGCATAATTAAACAAGCTTATGAAACTGTTTAGAAGGATGTCGCTAAAGCATTTTACTGAACAGCTATTGGTATAAAATCCCTAGTCACAGCAGTACCAATATAGATAATTTTACCTGAACTCTGACCAAAGTCTGCAGTCTTAAATAGAAAGGATGAATTCGGTATAACAAGGGTCGGTTGGGCAGCACAAAGTCCTCATACTCTATTTGATTGAACACCGTGTTGTTGAACGGACACTGTGGACCTATTAGCCTCTGTGGAATGTCACTCTTTACTAGGAATGTATCTACGGCAGCCACGATATCTTGCACACTCGCCGATGGTGTCTAAAAAATAAAAAAATATTAAAAAGTAAAATAATTGGAACAGGTACGGTGCGGAACAGTTTTGAATCAATAATTCCATCACCCACCTAGGTATAATGCAATATTATGTACTTAGGTTTCTAAAATATTTTTTTAATTCAGTGTAAGTAAAATTCATATTATTAATATTTTTTCCTTAAAATAATGTCATCGCTGATTAATAAACAAAGTTAAAAACACGAACTTGTGTGAACATAATAAACAACATAGTAAGCATGGGTAATCCAATGAATCGTGGAATGTCGTTTTATAATTCCAGGATCAATGTTCCCACTAGCGACGAGTATCCAGTTGTTGCAATTAAACATCTAATTATGCATTACAAACATGAAGCTAGGTTATAAATGTAGTTGATAATATTACGGTTTGCTAAGGCACTGCACCTTCTCAAATATGTGTTTAACTTATTATTTCTAGTTATCTAAGCTGACCTTCGTAATAGAAAAAGCGAAAGGGTATATGTATAATATTGTTCTTTGTTCATTAACGTTATAAAATATTAAATGTAAGAAAATTATAATTACTAGATATGATTAGGGACGGCCCATATTCCATGTCAGTCGATCAGTGGTTCGTCTTCTATCGAGACTATGTATCGAGACAATGGTGACTAATCACTTACTGTAATAAAAAGTTCAGAATAGTCCAAATACTCATTGTTAATATTCTGGAAGTCTGAAAGATCTTCAGCGACGTATGAGAAGTACACATCGAAGTAGTTAGCCCTTAATAAAGCCATCAGTTCTCTGGTGCGTTCCATCTCCGGTGCAGAAGGCCGGTCACTAGGACTCACTATAAGGACCACCGTACTGGGCCCACCGGTAGCATTGTTGGCTATTTCTGCTAGAGACTTGTTCAGCGAATGCTGCAGAATTGTTGACATGACCGTTGGCAGGTTGAGACGATTGGGCCCTAAAAGTGTACAGGCCGATTTTTTTAGTGCTGATTACATAGTTATGTAGCCTCAGAATTTAGTTATGTAAAATGAATGAAGGAAGTGCGTAGATCTGATCACTCATTTGTATCGTGATTTTCGTGACTAACATTTTGTCACACTTTATAATTTGATTTAGAAATAAATAGTGATGATTCAAATATTTGATACTCCAACCAAATTCAGGCCAGGGTTTCGGCTTAAATATACTGAAGTGCGAAAATTATCACAATACGGTGTCAATAGGTAAATATTATTGAAGAAGCATGATCAACAAAAATTTAAAACTTTATACAAATGCCGAATATGTAAGATTGACGTTTTAATAAGGAAATTTAACAACGTATCTTACAAAGCAAAAGTTAGATTTTTTGTAGGATATGAATAAAAATAAAGTTGAAAGCCTTGAAGGAGAGCTAATTAGGCTTTCCGCGAATGCATGTTAGGGACAAAAAACAGTAGGTAAGCATGTGGCTACGCTTATTCAGAATACAAAAGAAGCAAACCTTATGAAGTATAAATAAGTAATTATTATAATGAATATAAAGAATTATTATGTAAAAACATAATAATATTTAAATGTGTATTTTTTTGTGCATTTAAGTAGATGCTAACTATTCAAAGAGACAATGTTTAATGTCTTTCTCCAAGATCTGGTTAGCTCATTATGCAAAAGATAGATGCGTTAAAACTTTGCCTCCAAACATATAAGTGATATTATGTAACTGTGTTAATGGGTGCAGCCACGGGTGCAGCTGTCCCAAGCTGAATAATCGGGTTACCTGTATAGCGATATGGAAGAATGTTATTATCTTATCTTTTAGTTCCAAAGTCAATATTTAGCGATTACTTAGAGACTTACTTACATTCGTCGGTAAAATTTTTAATATACGAGAACATTGTGGTGAGGTTGTACGAAGGGGGAGCGATCCACGCTCCTGTGTTGCCATGGAGAAGGGATATTGAACCTCTTTGCATGTTTATTTCCAGTGATCCGCCAATCCATCTGATGGAAAACAACATAAATTACTTAAACTTATTTCTCTAATTACCTAAGTCTCCAAAGCAAATGAATGTCGATTTATGTTTTTTTTTTTATATAATATAAAATCACGCTCTACAAACGCAACCTTTGACTAAGTATATTTAAAAGATCTAGTAACTATTCCCAAGTATCCGGGCTACAAACAAGACACACTCGAAGTTTCGAACAAAAAATAACACAAGTATAACTTCTTAAAGTAGATGTGCTTGCATATTTGCACGAGGTCGCTTTATCTAATTTCCTGGTCGAGTTGTTTTTTTGCAATCTTCTTTATCGATAGTTAAATTATGCGTAAATACGTAATGTATGGCCTTGTGTGAATGGCATAAATAGTTGTTGGTACTCACGACATAAATTGTTCGACGTCATAGCCTTTCCATGACCCGTCTGTAGCGACTATCAAGTCTATGACAGGAGCACCGCCAAGCATATCGCATGGTTTATGAACTCGACGCAATAAAGTAGCTGAAATCAAAGGACAATACCTAATGATATCTACACTTTGGAACGAGCAAATAGCTTCACTAGAGGACTGACGGACAGACTGACACGCTTAATTTTAAAGCTCTTGTTATACAATTCTTGTATACTTTTTTCCTTTTTTGCTTGCTTGACGTTCAAAAGTGCCTACTGTGGTCTAATTGAAATAAATGATTTTTGACTTTTGACTTTTTTTACTTTTGATACCTACTACTGGTACTAATACTAATGGTACTGACACACTTTCAATAGTGCCTCATATTGGTCTATCTGACAGAATTGTTTATCTTGGACTTTGTCATATAGGTACCTATGTATGTAGTTATAACTAGCTGTTTTATCTGCATAAGAAATCCCATTGGTTCTATTCTTTGTTTTTTAAACCACTATTGTACCTAAAAACTATAGTATAAAAGAACTATAGTGTTACAGATATTATTTGTTTGTAAACAGAAGCCCTAATATGGTAAAGGCATTTAGTAGGTAGGTACTCACGAGCATAATCCATAAAGGCATTGACCGCAGCAACCGCCATTCTCTCCATCTCTTCAACTGGTACATACACAGTGATCTGTCTTAGAGACAATACATGAGAGAATCTAGAAGTTTCCACAAGCAAGTCTCCCTTGTTCACAATGTTCGAGAACAGATTCTGACGGTTACAAGCCTTTATTGAAGGATCGAATGACACTCCTTCGTTGGAGTAATACATGTCTAGCACTTGAGATAGTCTTAACGTTCGTCTTTGTTCTACCCATTTAGGTATGTGATGCGCTAATATCAGACCTGTAATAAAGAATAAGATGTGAATAAGTAACCGGTCAATCAAAAACAGGTATGATTTATTGTGTGATCACGTTCATTACGATTGATGACTAATGTTTTTGAAAATGGACGAGGCAGGCGCCTGTAAAGTTTTAAGCCCTTTTCAAACCTTTGTTTGTATTTACCTACCATTTGTAAAACTATATAGTGTGTATATTTTTAGTATTCCTAAATATTCCTTAAACCTAGATCTAACAATCTTGATGTAAACTAGTAGTAGCATTAATTACAAACTTCAGTAGTTTATGAATGCTATGTATACCTATTCATGTTTTTGTTTTTAAATGGTAATAAAAAAAATAAATAAAAAAAAGTACCTACCTAACTATACTCTGCTTAGGTATATTTCGTTCTTAAAGATAACTTAACTGGGTAGGTAAACGTAGGGTTGAACTAGTACCCACCCTGACGCGAAAAAAATGTTTGTTGATTATATAAAGAGTTGGTCTATGCAGGAATCGAAACACTTTTCACAGCAACCGAATACCTGGTTACTAGGCCAACCTTGCAGTCAATATAATTATCTCCTCATGTAAACTTAGCTGAAAAAAATTGTCATGCAACCATGAAGCTAATTTTGCTTTATGGTTGCAACGCTATGTAAATTCTTGTTCAGCGTGCGACAATTTTATAACTGCAATAATTAAATTGTACAAATGCAAAAAACACTTGGAATTCCCATTAAAACATACCATCAATGCCTGCAAGGATCTCGGCGTCCGTGAACTGCCAGTCAGCGACGGTCAAATTCTGGGGGAAGAGGTAATGGTCTCTTGGAAGCAAGGTGTCATTCCACCGGTTGTTGCTACCTATCACCATGTTCTGCGCAATAGAACCCACTCGGGGACCCTGGTTTACAACCACTTCTGCTAAATCACCTGGAAAATTTATTTAAAATTACTAAATCACACACGCCGTAGAAATGTGGGTAGGTACCTACATGGATATCTTTATTCAATAAGTACCTACTGTGGTTTCAAATTTATTTAAACGAGAAGTTAGACTAATATCTACATGTTGTGTATTAAGTATCTGTGTAATTATTTGGTGTATTTAAAGCTGTGTGTTACTAACATAGGTTTAAGTATTTATATATTCACCTACTAACAATTTTGTAAAATGTTTATTATGTATTCGTTTATTGTTTTTTACATTTTTATACGTATGTATAATGTTGATGGGCCCTAGTAGCCTGACATAAAGAGTTAAATAAAATAAAAAAAAAAAAAAATAATGACAAAAACTGAAACTATGAGTATTTCTCTATAAGCCTACCGTTGTTTGTATTTATACATATACATGTTATGGCCAGTTAGCCTTTTATCCTATATGAAGGGTAGATGAAACGTCTCTGTATGTAAAGCATAGAGACAGTTTTCCTTTCGAAGCGGCCGTAAAAATGTGTTAATATAATGCTAAAGAAAATTATATTATCTACAGTAAATTATGTGACTCGGTTACAATTTAACACTCACTGTAACATTCATTTCATACCCTTTGTTGCATCTAGCGCAACTTGTAGCGGATTTTAAGATCTCTTTTTATCTACCTAACTCTATTATTATCCTAGAAGCATCACAACTACGGAACTACACACAGTACCCACATAGATTATGTAGGCATATAGGTACTATTTATTCAAAACTACTTGTTATCAAAACGTAAACACCTAATGCTAAGTAGCACTAAGCAGTTACCTACATTAAGGAGCAGTATTCCACTAAAACAAGGAAGTGAAAGGAAGAGATATGAAAGAGTAAATAATTACTGAGACTACTTATGAAATATCTTGCTCACCAGCGAGGGTAGCGACCCACACATTCCCTATATCAGCTACATCGGACTGTCGTCGTAGAATTGGTGTATCATTTACTGCCGGAGTTAACGTTTCTATATCATCGACCCACTCCTGTTTAGCTGACACCATGAGTGGTTCAGCTACATCTTCATTAAATATATTCGCGTTTAATATATCTGTGACGGATACTCTCTGAGATTCCAGTGATGCGGCGACTGCAGCTATTACAGTTCCAGGAGAAATAGTGCCCCATTCTGTCTGAATTACTCCTTCTTCTATAGGGCACCTGCTGATGACTCTGAAATTTGGATGAATAATTTATTTAGTGTTTGTTCTGTATTCATCTGTGACTGACATCTATGTATTTTGGTTTGGTTTCGAGGTTGTTTAAGTAGGCACTTAGGTAGGTACTGAAGAGTAGTTGACCTTATTTTTAAGGCTTGACATAGATACTTACTTAAGTACCTACATACATAGGTATTATTTCAATGCCATCTATGGTGAGTTACATACTTCATAGATGACTTATTTAAACTAGGTACTGTAAGTACCTACTTACATATATATTCATTTATCTTTATCTTTCTGTTTATTTGTAATGTTGCCCCGATGATCGCAACTCATGTACCTAGGTATTTTAATTGGTCCATTAGTGAACCTAAAGACCTTTAATTCAGTTTGTACGAACCTATCGTATTTAGTAGGTACTGTATAGCTACAAAAGGTCGAAATCGACCTTTAGTGACGTGAATGCCGAAATGTATAATTTTCATCATTATGTTTGATATATTGATAAAACCCAATTTACTTACGTCAATGTATGTACGCAAGTGATAAAAATACGTATCAATTAATTACGTACCGCTTTACATAATATAAAAATGTTTGTTTATAAATTGTATGTAACTAGGTACCTACCCAAAACCAAAATGCTTTAACTGCCAACGAAGAGGCTTTTGACCTTACGATAGTAGATAGTAAGTAAGATAGTAGTATAGTAAAAGTATTTTTGCGAGTAGCAAACTGAGTGATAAACACTTATCAAATGGCAAGATGTTTTTTAAATACTATTTACATACCCACCTACTATTGCTCTGTGTTTCCATATTATTGTTACTTTGGGCAAGTTGTGCTGATAACGGGCATACTAAATTTTCATCACCCCGTTCCCATTGTCGCACAGCCGAACTGAGCATTTTGTGCATGAGACATTTTTCAGCTATTGGCAGAATTTCATCAACCTGCACTAAGTTTTGACTCGGTAGAAAAATATCCATGAGGATCTTGAATTTGTGGAATTGGAAGCTGGATGCTCTGTATGGCAACAAGAATTCAGTTTCCACAGCATTTACCGATGATTGCTCAATGCCATCTAGCCGCAAGCTGTGAAAATAGTAAGAAGCCATGTAATTTTTAAATACCTGTCTGTCAAACTTTGTTAAGAAATTGTCGACAGATGGCGCTACCAAATATGTAGTCAAATAAGTATATAAATAACAACCATCTATTTAATATTTAAATAATGTTATTGAGATATCGTTTTAAAAGGAATAATAGAGTTAGGTTAAGTTTTCTAGCTGGCCTAGTAGGTAGAGATTTTTTACCAAAAATACAGATGGCGTTGCAATTAAGAAGTAAATAAATATTACCTTCTTAGTAAGCCGGAGCTAAGCAGTCTCATGTCTAGTTGTGACTGTAGTTCTAGCTTCTGCAATAGGGACAGGAACACATCAAGTCGCCTGGGGGCCGGCAGGTCGGGGATCCCCGACCTGTAGCAGTCCCGCAGGTGATTTGGTATACTGGGCACCGTTGCACAGGTCACAACTACACCAAGAAAATATACATTTATAACATGACAAACAATTATCTACAATAATAACTCAAAGATAACGATACAAGTATTTAAAATTATAAAGGTGCGACCAAATGTCAATAACATTCAGATACGCAAAATGTACTTACAATTAAATAATATAAGTAAGTTCAAAAATAATATTTTTTCTCTCATGTTTAACTCTCTCACATATTTACTTCACTTCGAAAATAAAATTAAAACAATGCGTGCTGGGCACGCGTATGAATGCTACTATATGGATCACAGCGTTGTGATAAGATAGTGATAATGATTCATTGCAAAACCAGGTTGTGACAACACCTTTTTTGTTTCAAAAGATTAACAAAATGCAAGGATTGGATTAATAAAATAATTATAAAAATAATTTACCTTTTATTGACGATCCATTTGTACAAAATTATTCTAGTTTCAAAAAACTAAATTCATTCTTTACATATTTGGTATTCAAATTAAATTATCAAGAACAAATAAAATTGACAATATGAGTTTTAAATAAATAAAAATTGTACGATACCTAAATGCCAAGGTTTCAATAGCATTTGTGATGTAACTTTAATGTTTACAAATAAAAACACAACCAAATATACAAATACTTAGGTAAATGTGCAAAACAAAATTGTTCCCATATTTTTCTTGAAGAAATTTAATCTATGTAAATATGTTATCAAAATAAAACACAAAAAAGACATGACATTCTAAACAAAAGACGAGGAATGTAATCCTTTCACAAATCCCATCAATTCCCTGTACACAGCAGTGAAAAACAAACAAAATAATTATACTTTTTTCATTAAAAATCTATACAAACCAAGGTGAAATTAATTCTAAGCTAGTATTTCTTTAATTAATTTGTTTTTCAGTATAATTAGGTTTAAGAGTTTTTACATGCATCTTAGCTTGAATGTAACCACTTTGTCAGCTATTATGTTTTTTAATTTTAATCCTACTAAATGCCCAAAATACTTTAAGTTGTGGTTGAACGACATTCATCAAATGCAGCTGAAAAAGTAAATATGTTACAATCTTTTAAAAAATTGCATCAATAATAAAAAAAAAACAAAATTTGGCTTGAGGTGCCAAACAACCCTTATTTCTTCTGCTTTCTTACAAGTGCTGTTATAGTGTGTTATCATATTGCCCTATACTGACATTAAACTGTTTTAATTATCTTATCTTTGCAGTCATACAAAATATCTAAAATTATTTTCTAAGCTAACCTTACAATAGGTAATGTTTGTTCTATCATGAAACAGTCTCTATTGGATCCAATGTACCAAACAATGTTATTCATTATCATGTGAATGTTTTAAATAAACACTCACTAAATATACATACTCTTTAATATAATAAGATTTGATGGATTGAAAACCAAAAGGTTTGTGTACATAATATCTCTCCATAATCCATGTTTAGCAAGAATACAGAATAAAAATATGAAATAAGTAATTCAATAACAGCAATTGTTATAAAATAATACTAACTGAAACATTGTAGTTCATATACATTATTATCGAAGTACCAATTTTGCGGGCTTTCCATCCACTTGTCTTGATGATCCATGCTTTAATGTGAATTCTCTCTTAATATATGCAAACAATAAGTCAGTTATAAGGAATATTTGAGCAGTTGCAAAAGAGAGAGTGACTCCAAAGAAAAAGTTGGCATTAGCTGATCCAGAGTATATCCACAGGTGCCACACTGTTGGTCCAAGAGCTGAGGTAATGATGAATGTGCAGCCCACTATGAATTTTTGCTGCATGACTGAAAAATAGAGTATTTTTAGCATACTATACATTTCTTCTTTTACAATAATGCTAAACCTATTTTTGTTACAGCTATGCTGATGTTTATGTAAGTAAATATAAATTACTGTGAATACAAACATCTTTGTAACAATATAATAATAATTAACATATTCTGAGAGTAAGGGGATCATTTAAAAGGCTACAACACTACATTAACATAACTGTACATTGTTAGTAAAGAAATAGTTATACTTACATGTAAATAAATGTTTCCACATTGGCAATAGAGCTAAATAAAAGCCAACATCACCCACACAAGGATAAGACCGGAATATACTTGAAAGTGCAATAAGCACTGTTGCCAAAAGTATTGGGTCTTTCTTGAATCTTAATGTAAGAGGGACCACATACAAGGCCAGAGCATTGATTTGGAATGCACAAACAAAAAGAACTCGGAAGTGTTCAAACATTTCTGTAAAGAAATACCAGAACAATCCAATGTTTGGTTTTAAGTCAGGCACAGTCAATCTGAAAACATAAAAACACATGCTCATTAAGTTTATACTATACATGACTAAACTATATAACTGTCTTAGTTCAAGAATGGGAAATGTCCAGTTATGCATAGAGATAAGTTATCTGTTGAGATCAAAATGTCTACTATGTGTGTACTCACATAAATCCATAAGTGTTGTAGACATATTTGTAAGAACCATCCATTATGTATGCCGACAAATAAATGAGGAATCCCCAGCTTAACACAAACACAAGCAAGGTTCTAATATAAGAACATTTGGTGCATCCTTTGTTAACTTCGGCCAATATCAAGGCAATGGGTACAATAAGCAACACTGGGTATAGAGCCTGGTGAGTAGCTAGTGCAATAAACACACAAGCTACTATTCTCTGACCACTTGAAGCTCCCCATAAGGCAGTAGCCACCAACAAGTTCTGTATGACTGTCGTAGTCATACCAGCACAGTTCAAAACTGAATATGGGTTAAACAAGTACACTGATAACACATATTCTGCAGATTCCTTCAGTTGAGCATCATCCAAAAGCATAGGTTTAGACTCATCAGCAACTTCAGCCAGTTGTTTCTCTTGGGATTCTTTCAAAAGCCGTATAAAAGCTTTTGAAGTTTTGTATAGAAGATGAGCAGTCAGGAGGTCCAAAAATGTGAATAAAACTGGTAATATAAATGGCACTTTTTTCATAATATGGTAGAAAAAGACTAGCATAATAGGCGATTCATGAAACGAATCTCCTTCATAAGGGTTTATGTTGTGATCATATAAATAAACGCCTTCTATTAACCTCTTCCAAGAGTTTAGAGGCGTTGCAATTTCCACCCTGTTAGCTATCGTTTGCCAATAATCCAAATTAATTAACCAATATCGTAATAAGCCGGCTACCACATATTTCAAAATCACACCCATTTTTCTACATTAAACATAGATAAACCGGGTAAAATTCTTTGTAGTTCCAACTTCCAACTACCAGATAAAATTATAATGACATTTTGACAGTTCGAATACGAGTAGGACATTACTTCAAAATTGACAGCGGAATTGTTTTACGCAGAAACTATACTCGGAATTTTAATTCCATTCCAGATTTGACAATTTCAGTGTTGCAACTTTATGACACGTAATAAATAGTGACGTTGCGAAATTATTCGATATGGAAATCGAATATTTCTGAATCGATTCCTCTCGTTTATAAATTTACTCTCGTAAACTAAGTTTATCAGGAAATAAAATATTTCTGAACCGATAATTTAGTTTTGACAATTAATTAACGATCTGAGACTTTTCTTTTGTAATTGTGTGTGAAATTAATTAAAAATGTGATCATGAAGGAACGTGACAAATAAAACAGACATTTTATAAATTGTCGCCGTCATCGCTATCGCTATCGCCGTTACTCTATGTAACATTTATTATGAATTGTGTCTTTGATATTTATTGTCAATTATCATATCTTGCTTACTAATTTTTTCCTCTTCTTTGAAAACATGGGATACACATTTATACCATTCGGTAGCCGTAATTTTTTGAATGCCTTCCTGAAACTGATTCACTGATTGTTTATCGATTTTTTGTGTTCATCACTACACTGTTATATGTGGTATCATTATTTCACAAAATGACAGTAGTCAATGTCAAATCAGGAATCGAAATAAAAGTCTGACTATAAGTCAGAGTCGTAGTTTTTACTCTTAAACAAAAAAGTGTACAAAATCCCAATATGTTTCATATATTTCTTTTTTTGAGTATCAACTAACAGTTACCTGTTGTAATATGTCGAATTGACATCTCTATTCTCTTTTAGACAAAGAATATGTAACCACTACGTTTAGATTTTAAATAGAATCCGACCAATTACATACAACTGTTTGATATGGGTAAATACATATTCGAAACACCAGAGAAAAGATAAAAGTTTTCAATCTGCGTTTACTGTAATTACCTATTAAAATTTGGTATTCACTTCCATTTACGGGATCACAGGGCCCTGGTCCTTTGGAAGGCGCTCAATGGGCCGAAGCAAACTCGCAGAGGCCCTTTGAGCAACCAAGTATAATTTTTGTGAAATCTTGAAATATCACCTTTCAAAGTATGGCCCATCAGAAATGATAGTAGATACCTACACGTCACGTATACGCCAACGATTAATTCAATCATCAAAACATTTTGTAAGCGCTGTTTTATCGCGAATTGGGTAGTTTTCTAGGTGAAAAATAAATTAATCCGACGTTTCAATTATTTTTCAATATGTTATTGTATAACATACTGAATACTTATAATAATATTTTATGTTGTTGTATAACATATTCAAAAATAACTATAATTTCATTCATCGAACGATCGATACTCTAAATTGTCGTTATTTTAGCAAATTTTACCAACCACTACGTTTAAAAATAATTGATGTAACTCAGTTTTTTAAACAAATGTCTTAAAAGTATTGTTTTTGACATTTGGATAAAAGTATTGAATTTGACTACCTAGTTGGAAACTACCGTACCTATTGTAATTTATGTCTTTTGCAGATTAAAGAGGGGTGCCACGTATATAATACGAATGATAATTTGAACCATATCTGGCGAATATAGTAACTGTTATTTGTTAAGTATTTAGTAAAAATCCGTCCACAATGATGGCATTGTGCTATTTTTTTCGTCGAAATGTCGCATAAGTCCGCATAACGCTCAAATTATGTACCTACTTTTAGTAGATACCTAAGCACTTATTTATATTTACTATTAGTAATTATTATTAACTAGCTTTCGACAACAGCTTCGCCCGCGTGCTTAATAAAAAGCAGCCTATAGCAATAGAACAAAATTGAAGTATACATATAATATTTGTTATTAATCGTCTCATTTTCATGCCTGGCTCCGCTCGTGGTTCGCCGCGCCACGCGCCGTGTAAACAACTGCGCTCGACGGGGCTCGGCAAAGTTCGCACGATCCATCACTTGTCGGTTTTTTCGACACAGATCAAAGGCGCGCGCGCCATCTGCGGC